TCCTCATCCCACCCCCACCCCCAATCGCTGGCTGTTGTCGCTCGGCTCATGAATTTTGATCATCTTTTTCGGTTCACTCCCCCTAAAAAAACCCTAACCATTTTGCGTCACTCTCAATTTTCTAATATTCTAAAATAAGTTATTTTACTCTTCAAGATCATTAAAAAGTTTTTATACAAATTCATGTTCAGTTAAATCTTGAAATTTTGAATTGTCATAGATTTAACTTGTTAGTTAATAATGTTCTGATACACTCTACAAATATTTAATTACTAATTTAGTTAAGACAAATGAAAATAAATAAAACTTATTGATATTAACTTCTTTTTTCCTTTTTTCTTCTCTTAACTTTTTCCTTTTTCTTTGTTTTAATTTATCTCCCCCTCCCTCCCTTTTTTTTTTGGACTTATGTTCTAGTTTATGTCAATTCTAATTTAAAAGTGTTTTTCAAAACTTTTACTTTAATAAATTTGGGGTTCCTCAGCATGCTTTATAGAGTGTTCACATTTTATATATATACATATATATATGTGATCTTGAATTCTTATACTTTTCAATCTTCATAATATTTACGATATTAACAATTAATATTTTTTTTTATTAAATTATCTTGTATTATTATCTCATCAAGTAAAAATTACAAAGTTAACTATTTTTAAATAAATCACCTAATAAATTAAATATGTTTAAATAAAGTTCTTTTACAAAGAAATCATTCAATAGAATGTTAAGTTTTTCAAGACATGTCATCTTATAAGACATTATCGTAATTACACTAACTTATATCATGTATTATCTTTTTCTATTAAAACACAAATAAAAAGTTTAGAATTTTATGTAATGAGTCAAAGTACCTCAAAAAGTGACATAATTATTTGTATTAAAAATATATTTTCACTAATAAAAAAGACTTCATAGATATATCTTAACAAGATATATATTAAATGCTCACAAGCAAGTGAGTTTATGTTGCATGCAACTTATGTCATAAATTAGTGCAACTTACAAATCATGTTTGTTGTAGAGTTGCTGACAAAGTCAAGAGTTTGTTTTTCTTAGTTGTCTATTTATTTAGGAATTTGTTTGTGTTTACCTTTCTTTAAGGAGTTTCTTGATATAATGACAATAGCATGTTGGTTTAGTTGAGATAATAGCAATAGCACGTTGGTGCCCTTATAAATAAGTAGTTGAGATTTTTTGAAATTTTTTTAAATATTCAATCTTCTGTTGTTAACACTTCTAAGTGAGAGATGTTCTAAGTTATTCATTAAGTATAAATTTTTTGTTCTAATGTTATTTGTTGTTTTTTATAAACTTTAGTGTTTGAGTTTTGTTACATGGTATCAGAGCTTGATTTTGTTCTTATCAAGTGTTTAAGTTATGGTTTTCCCAGGTTGCCTATCAATTATTTGATTTTATTCTTCAATGAATGTGAATAATAGAATCAACATCTCTCAAGCCTCTATAGAAGAGCTTGTTGGTAACAATTATAGTTACTACAAATTATGCATGGAAGCCTATTTACAAGGTAGGATTTGTGGGATCTTATTTCTGGTGACGAAGTTGTAATTTCAAAGGATACGCTATAAAATGTTGAATTGCATAAAAAATGCAAGATAAAGTATGACAAAGATCCATTTGCTTTAAGAGTATCAATTAGTAAAGAGTATATCGAGCATGTTCATGATTTGCAATCGTCGAAGCAGTGTGGGAGACACTTGAGAGGTT